TGTTATGAATCCCATGATTCTGACATGTTTTAAATATACTCCTGCCACACGGATAGAGGCAGAATGATCATTGTCCTGCTTACAACAGATATATCATGTAGAATCTAAAGGAAAGTTTAGGTTATTCAAATATGGCAAAGAATACCGGCTATCGACCTAAAGAAAGATGCCTTTTTTAACAACTTTCTAAGGGAAAGTGGCTTATATTTGCATTACATATGAGGAAAACTAGAAAAATCAACCATGCAGCCAGCCCTTGAACCATGATATGAAACCAGATCAAACTGCCAGTATTCAATGGTCTTAACCAGTTGTAGGAAAAATCTGAAGGAAATGCTAGCAATATCATGTAATCAGAAATTAACTATATGTTGCATAGCAGGATTACTTTTTCAAGCGTCGAGGAAGATAATTCCCCGCCCCCTTATATAGGTATTTGGCCATAGTATTCATTACATATATTCTGTTATTCATATGGAATACTAATATTTTTACTAAAAATTGTCTTTTTCATTAAGTGCTTTGCTTGTCGATATTCTCAAAATTATGTTTAATAGTTAGTGCTACTGTGCATATAATAGATTCATTACTAAATAATACATTTAAAACATTCATTTTACACAAGCAATTTTTCAAGTTGTTCAAGTTCAAGCACAAGTAGTTTTTTTTATTTTACTTGCTGATAGCTTCAGATTGTGTTGTTCCTTAATCTTCTAATTGGAACTGGCTTATTTTTTGCAGACTGTTAGAGTTTATAAAAGTAGCTTGACTATTGATTTTTCAAAAAGATTTCTGATTCTGGAACTGCCAAAAATGTACAAGGCGAAAGCATGTTTCAGTGTAGTGCTTTCGATAGTGAAAAGTGACAAAGAGGTTTTGAAAACAAAAATTTCGATTGACATTAGTCGCTATTCTCGACACAGCACGCGTTATTGGGACTGAACATGTCCTGTTTAGAATTAAAGAAAAAGTATTAGCACAAAAACGAAGCAACTTAAACAACTTGCATTGAAAGAAATGTTTAATTTAATAAAGTAAACAAATAAATATTAAGCTTTTTGTGCGTGTGTAAATTTTGATACCCTTTAGATCTTTATAATTTCTGCATGCCAGCTTACCAACCGTAATCCGAAATGGCCGAAGTCCGGATTAAAGACTTTGTACTGTATTATCTGGTTAAAGTTTTCAACCATAAATATTGTTTTTCTCATTATTTTAGATATAACAATCAATAATAAAAAAAAAGACATTAATTACTAAAATTCATATTTTGGCGGTCCATGAAATGAAAATATTTTAGGGTTTGGAAACCTCATAGTTCTGAGTGCTTAACACTACGTTAACAGCCATGTTACCAATTATCATTGACCCCCTCCCGCCATATTTTCTTCCGCGAACCAGCATTTGTCGCCAAAAACTTCCTTAATTATATGAAAAATAATAATGAATTAGTTAGTGAAGAATTATTTAAATCGGCAAATGCGAACGACGACTGTCACAATTCAACAAAATGAACGTAAGAGGAATGGTTGCAACCTTTGACCAAGCGAATAGATTGAATCCGTTGGGTTACCAAGTTTGAACTATTATTGCCAAAGTTGCCGATGTTTGCATTTACTGGTTTCTTTGCAGAAGTGTTTCCACCTGTTGGTATACATGGCGCCATTTCTCGATCCTGGTCGACTCGGGGAATCCCCTCTTCAGATCACTCAGTGTTCTTTTATTTACATGTTTGTGTGCTTGTGAGTTTTTTTTCCCCCATTTAACGTGGAAATAATTATTTCGCAATGCCTCCCAAGAAGATACTTAGTGCTGCAAATAAAAAGAAGGAAGCCATGGCCGTTGAAATTTAAAAAATCCTAGATACACGTAACCGTGATGTAAGAGTGACAGAATTGGCGAAGACTTACGTTTGACATCGATGATCTCCGCTGTCTGTGAAGGAGGAACCAATTAAGAAACTTGATGTGGGCAAATGAGTTCTCATTACTTCCAAGCAACATCCAAAACTCCTAGATCTTGAGAAGCTATTGTTGGTGTGGATTAACAAGAAGCAGCTAAGAGGCAATTTCTTTTCGGAAGCTATCATAAAGGTAAACTACGGGTATATTATTTACCAGTGTTTTTTATTAGAAAAATTGATTTTTATGTTGATGTTTTGAGAGTTGCAAAACAGATTAACTGGATTTCTATTATTTTTAACGGGGAAAGTTTATTTCAAGATACGAGAAATTCGCTATACGAGTTCAATGCTGGAACGAATTAAACTCGTATTTCGATGTTACACTGTATTCCTTTAACTTGCTCATATATATCATGTATATGTGCTTTCTCCATATTTACTTTTATATAAATATTTAAAGAATGTACACCAGAAATAAGATAAAATATATATTTAAAAGTCAGTGGCGTATTAAAATATATGCTTTCGACAGGAATGTGCAGTTTGCCTAGCACGTTTCCTCCTCGTTCAGTACTTTACTGTTCTCAGGATTACAAATTGAAGCTTTTGGGGAAAGCCATTTTCCTTAGAATGTTAAATTTGGCACCATCTAGGATGGCAGAAAATATCACAACTTGCTCATTAATCCATACTGGTTATTTCTTATCCAATTCTTTGCAGGGTTCACTATCTCTTCATTAGAGAATTATAACAGGAGTATATCTTTTTCCATCTGTTTGCGGTGAAATCCTAAGCACCTCACATCTTATCGAGTAGAAGGAAGTAATGAGTTCTTGTTGACTAAGGACTTAACGAGCAGTAACCAGCATTGAAGATCTGCTCTTTCCATGCTAAATTTGGTGATTTCATTGTTAGATAATGAATTTAATCTGATTATCTTGCTTTTTAGGTTACATAATGATTTTATTTCTTAAGCAGAATTAATGTTGTGGGAATATTTTTCTGTTTGTTACCTGTCTTGTTTTGAATGCTATTTATAGTTTTTAAAATTCTGTATTGTTTCTTATGGTGGCATATGGGAATGAGTTTATTTCTGAAAGAAGTTGAATGTTCTATGTGCAGTAATATGCATTTGGTAGAACAGAAAGACTTGAATGATGGTTTATTTCTGCGTAGAACTAGCAAGTGTAGTCATCAATTTGATTCTTATCTTGCCAAGTATATATGGTGAAAGATAAAATAATCTTCAAGAATAGTTTTCAAGATTTCTAGAAGTCAAAGAAGGTTTATACTCTGTTGAATAAATAGCGTAGTTTTGCCTATATGCATTATCTTAATTCCATTTAATTTGTCCAATATGAGGATTTCAATTATACATAGTACATTGCAGAGCATCAGCCACATTGCCAATGGTCAGTCCTGTTTAATGACAAGTTTGAGAATTCATTTAATGAAGAAGTCAAACATTACTTAGAACAGCAAAACCTGAGCTTGAGGCCTCTGTGCGGTGCAGGTTTTTGATTCTGTCATGGAAAACCTGTATTTAAACATCCTTTATTAAGTAAATTTGTATATTTTCTTATTTTAGTCTCTTTTTTTTTTTTTAGTAAAGCATTAATTAAGATGACATTTATGTTATAAAAAAAGTAAGAAAGCAAAATATCTTCAATTAAAGTAACAAAAAACCTTGACCAGATAAAGCCGGTCATGGCACTCCCAATTATCAGTAATGCCTCTACTAAGCCCTCACAACATTGCATACGAGGTAGTGGTTTTATTCCTCCCACTAAATACCACTTCCTTAATCTAACCAATGGGTCAGGAAATCAAAGACATTCAAATCATATTATGTTAGGCAAATTTATATATCTACAAATAAAGAATTAGGTAAAGGAAAGCATGGCACACTAATAGCATTTTGGAAGCAATTCAACATAACACTGTACAGAAATGATTAAACTCACATGGGAACAAGTGAATTCATTGACAATGAATACTCTGCCCAGAAGTTACAACAGTTTTAAAGAATTTCTATAGATTGAAAATGAAGCTGAAGAAAATGTGCACATTGTAGAAGCTATTGGTGGTGAAAGGTTTTCAGAAGTGGAAGAAAGAGAATAGTCAAGAATGACAATCTTAAAATAAACAAAGAAATGCAGGAAATACGAGCCGAAAGCTGTTACGGTAAAGGAACTTTCACATGCAAGAAGTTAAATGAATTGTTAAAAAGAGACAGAAACTGTCTGATTTTGTAATGGAAAATGATCCAAATAAAGGAGAAGGGGGGGAATGACAGTTTATCAGAGGTACTTAAAAAACTTTCCACTCCTTACCTCAAAACTTTAAATGAGTTGTGTTAGACACTGCACCAGGCAATGAATTCAATTTTAATTTCATTCTTTTTCAGGGTCAGGCACTTCTACTAAATAGTATTTTTGTGCCAGACCCTAGCCTTTCCTAGCTCCATTTGTCTGACAGCCCCTTAATAGGACTCGGGTGTAAAGTGAGATATTGAGATGAGCCTCAATAAATATTGAGAAAATTAAGTAGTCAAGCAAATGAGGGCAAGGGCATCACATTCATATATAATATGGTACAGCATTTCCTGCATATAGGGTCTTGTTGAAAAATTCTCGTAGTATGAAGATGTTTTCCCTTGATGAAGTATCTTCAGTCTTGGACACCTAAGAATTTTAGAGGCAATCTTACCAGAATGTCTGATAATCACACTTTTAGCATGTATTATATATTAAGGTTTGTATAAATTTATGCATACTTTCTTAATCTGAACTATATACAACTGTCTTCCCTTTCAACTGCCCTTTAGACAGTTAACTTTTCAGAATGCAGTTTTGCTGCATGAGCTGTATGTTAAACCCACATAGCAGAGGTTTATTGTATCATATAATCATTATAATAAGAATTAAAACTTGGTATTTTAAACTGTGTATTTTCTATTGATATGTTGGTAATGTTTGCTGGCTGACAATGAATATCAGTATTTGGCAACCTTTAAAAAAAGTTGCCAGTTTTCACCCTATAGATAAATTTTATCTGTTTTTTTTTTTTTTTTTTTTTTTTTTTTTCCCTCTTATAGGATCCTCTAAATTTGAAAAAAATTCATTCACCTCGTTATTGTGGTCTAGTTCAGAAAAAAGCTATAATGATTGACCCACATCCGAGCAGCAATGGAGTGACTTTTATTCACAAAAAGAAGTATTGTAAGTTTCATTTGGTTCATATTTAATTTTGGTAAATGTTTGTCCAGTAATATACTTCACATGATAGTTAAAGGATATTAACAGAATGAAAGCTATTGGAAGATGTTTTAAACAATTTACACCAAAAAAATCCTTTAGGATAAATTATCATACCTACCAGTTGACTAATCTAAGATTTTTGAAGTGTATTTTGATGCCAGAAATGTTTATTACAGACAAGTGTTGTCATCTATTAACAAAACATTATAACATCAGAACACCCGTGTTGGGTGCAAGAAAAGACGGGTTGTCTTTTTAAATACAAGGGGTGATCAAATGAAAAGGTACGAAACGACATGGTGGGTACAAATGTAGACTTTATTCAAAATATACACCATAGGCCTGAGTACAACGATCCCACTGATGAACAAGCCGCAGGATTTCTTGTTCCCAGAATTCCTGTGGCAGTGACGAGACCCAGTACTTCACAGCGTCCTTGAGTACGTCGACGGAGTTGAAGCACATCTCTTTCAGGTGTTTCTTCAGTGGACCAAACACATGGAAATCGCAGGGCGATATGTCCGAACTGTAGGGCGGATGGTCCAACGTCTCCCACTTAAACTTGGCCAGTTCCATGTGTGTGATTCTGGAGACATGTGGACGCACGTTATCATGGAGTAGAACCACACCCTACGTGAAAAGCCCCTGTCTTTTGTTCTTGATGGATCTGCTTAGGCATCGGAGTGTCTCACAGTACACATTGGAGTTAGTGATTTTCTGTACTCGAGGAATTCCACAAGTTGCGAATCTTGAAAGTCGAAAAAGACTGTGAGCAACACCTTCCCTGCTGCCAGCACGGCTTTGAACTTTTAGGGGGAGGTGACGATGCATGCTTCCACTGCATGCTGTCCCACTTTGTCTCTGGCTCGTAGTGATGGGGGATCTTCTTGATACCGAAATAGATGTTGTTGCAGTGCTATCCCCATACGCAGTTCCTTTTGCTGGTCGGTGAACTGCTTCGGAACTCAAGAGGCACACACCTTCTGATATCGCAAACTGTCGTGAACAGTTGTCCACATGGTTCCATAGCTGACATCCACCTTCACCGCCAACATTCGCAATGTGACATGCCGATCACTTCTCACTAGGTCGTCCACCTTGTCAATGAGATCGCTCGTGAGGACAGTGTTTGCCTGGCCTGGTCTCGGCTCATCACCCACACTCTCACGACCTGCACGAAAACGGACACTAAATTTTCTGACAGACTTGTCACCGGATGGTGACAATTTACAGGGAGAAATGCTGTAAACTGTCACCAAGACACATTTCTCCTTGTAAACTGTCACCATCCAGCAATGAATAGCTGCCGGTTTCTCACCTTCCGCTGTCAGAAATCGGATAACACATCATTTGGACACCGCTTTTGAAAAGAACCTCTGCCATGTCCTGCGCATGCGAGCACCCGCGCATTCTCCGATCACAGTCAGAGACTCAATACCATCCCGAGATGTCTCGCTACGTTCTCCCATGCCGGAACATGCAAATATTTTATGCTGTTATCACATCTATAGACGCGCTCGCTTACCCGGAACAATTCCGAGAAACGAGATTCTAGTAGCACGGCTTTAAGCGGCAAGCTTCCGAGAAATGTTTCGTCTAGCTAGGAGGAACGTGTCCTGGCTACGAGCAACATTTTAAAACTTTTCCCAAAATGTTCCGGCTGGAGACGTGTTCCTCGAACGTTCAACCAATCAGACGAAAGGTCAGCTTCTGAAGGATCACGGGTAACTTTCAGTATGGCGATGGCTCTCACTGTGAAGTGATGGACGGTGGAAATAGAGGGCGATTTAATTATTGCTGTTTTGTTGTAATACAACTACCTGAGTCATTTTTTAAAAATGTGTTATATATTCATTAAATATATAATTGTGGAAATTTCAGAGTTGACAATATTTTACGACGTTCTTGCATTTCGCATTTGTTTACCAATTGTTCGTCGCCAAAAGTTCGCCAAATTTGTTGTATTTCGTGCTGATCGTGTATTATAACACTGTTATATAATGGAATTTATTTCTTAAATTTAAGTTGAATAATTTTTTAAAATCCGTTTGTATATGCGCGGCTTTTCTCCTAATTACTTATCTTTTAAATTGTTAACTGCATAATCAGTGACACATTTAAACAGCATAAAAGATGCATAAAAAAGAAAAGCATAGCTTATGTAATAATGAGAATACTCATTAATTTGTCTATTATTTCATGTTATTAATGAAATACTTTTTGAATTACAAATACATTAGAAATTATACTTTTATTGGAAATGCTACATATTGAAACATTGAAAATTTATGGATTTATTATTATAGAAGAAACGTCCTTTGATAAAACGTTTCTTCTTGTATTTTTCGCAATAATTTAAAAACGGATTTTCGTAGCTTTCTTTTCGTAGTTACAGCTCTGGATTGCACCCGCAGATGCGGAGCGGCGTAAATGAGACAGTTTACCGCTTGTTATATTGTAGCGCACGGCACCGCAACTATGAAAATTTAGTCTTAGCGCAAGTGGTTAAATTCTAAAGGAAAAGAAAATATTTTTTGGCGCAAGTAAATTAATTCATGAATTAGTTATTTTCAGGGGGGAAACAACTACGAAAAAAAGTTTTTAAAATTATTGCAAAAATTTCAAGAAGAAACGCTCTTTGATAAAACGAATTTTTTGCAATAATTTAAAAATGGATTTTCGTAGCTTTCTTTTTGTCAAAGAACATTTCTTCTTAACATGCGTTTCTCAATTTCCGGTACACATCGCGGAGAGGGAAATTCTGGCCGCCAGGTTCCGTCGCCAATCCCTTGGCAAATTTTTCCCTCCGCATTCTAGCGGCGTAATAGCATTTTACTTGTATGGAAAATTTTCTTCTTTACATAGACCAAAGAATTAGAGATTCTTTGCATAGACGTTTTTGGGTTAAATAATCTCTATGTATGGATTTGGCGACATGATGATGCGCAGTAAACGGGTCATTTTGGTCTTGGCGACAATTTTCAAAATCGTGCCAAAGCCTTACCGTATACTAGAATTTACCGCAAAATCTTTTTTTAAACTTTTTTTTTTAATAATACCTTGCCATTTTGCAGTAAAATAAAAAATAATAATCTGTCATCTAGGCTAACCATGTAATATACTATATTTGCTAAAATCGTTGATTATTCTAATTCAATTTTAAGTAATTATCTTTATTTTTTATGTTTTTGTATAATTTAATGATGCTTCTTCCCTCTAAATTTATTAATTATTAGTAAATAATATTTCTAAATTTCAGGAAATTTTCTCTGGCATAATCTTGAAATTAATTCTAGCAGTATGATGACATACCATCACGAAATTTAATGCACATATTTTTTCCTTATGTATGCTGCGAACTAAATATAAAATACCTCAATTTATTAAAATAGATTTCTTTCTTTCGTTTAGCTGTAGAATGTCTGCAGAAAAAGCCTTATTTTATTCCAGATTGGGAAGATTCTAATCTCAATCTTCAATGGAGAAAACAACAACTATTATAATTATATATGTGTTTTCAAGTGTTAAGGTGCTTTTTAAGAACATACCTCACACAAATTAAATTTACCTAAAATCTAACCTAACTATTTTCGCATTGTGTTGTGATTTATAAGGACCGGATTAGCCTCGTGTTGAAACTGGTGATGATCATGAGTAATAATTAAAATAAAACATACATTTGTTATCCAATGTATATATCTTAAATTTTATTAAGTTTCTTAAGTGGAAAAGTAAACAAAATTATCAAACAAAGTATATGAAGAATAATTAAGAATAAATGTCCTCTGGGATTTATTGAATAATTAAGTGAATTTGCTACACAATACAAGTAATACCATATTTTACCTCTTAGCGTAGCCAACGTACATTACGCGGATAGACTGGAATTTTCTTGAAACGCACCTGGAAATGTCAGGGAATTTCATTCTCCTGTTTGAGTGGCAACCCTGTAAATAGACTTATCCAGCACAAGTTTTTAAACTATTCTTAGAGTGTATACAGAATTTGGCTATTACTGATGTAATTGATTGCTATAACCAGAAGTTTGTTTATCTGTTACATGAAGTGCCAGAGTGGAGATCAAAGAGATTAACTTGATAGCAATCACCTTTCTATTATCTTCCATTACTAACAATAAAGTTTAAAACGAAAAGTGTGTGAGCGATTCAAAAAAACACGAAGAAGCGAATGTCACTTGAAAGGAAACGTCACTTTCGCCAATCTGAGCGATAACTGATTCTTGTTTGGCTTTCAGCCTGTTTGCCAAGTGAAGATGGTAACCCTATTTCGATAAATGCTGTTTCTCAGAACTGTTGCTACAAACGTTTGGTCCCGGCAACAAACAGCTAATGTGATAACGGCTTAACTGTTACGTTTTTACATCATTTCGTACCTTTTCATTTGATCACCCCTTATAATTATGCTATGGAATTAAATTTTAAATTTGCTCGAATTTCCATCAAATTTAGGTAAAGAAAGGTTTCCAGAAATAATTCTGGAAGCTTAAGATTTAACTTCTGATTACCTTGCAAAAAAATTTTGCTTTTTCAACTCTTGAATCAGTGTACTCAAACACACTTTCACACTGTTCCATGTATTCATTTTTTAATACTTTGTAATACTGGTTTCTTAACTTATCCAGTAACTGTTCTAGGCAATTTAGATTTTCCAGATTGTATACGATTGAATTACATGCTGGTGTGAATAAAAACTACCTAAATTCTTTATCATCAGTGCTATTGTTCTGTGCATTTTGTACTTCTCATAAAAACTGCTTTTTTTTTCTGATGTTTCTAAAATAAATTTTCTCATTGTTCAAACAACTTTTTAATCTAGTCCCAGTTAACTAGAAATTAACTGCACTTAAAATATCTCTTATATCAGAATATTAACATGTGTATTTTGTAACAGTTGTTGCATATGTCGTTTGTTTGGAGCAAAAGATTAGAAGTACCTCTTAATGTGCCTAGCAGAATTATTAAAAAAAAAAATTAGAGGGGGGAAAGCTGTGAATAATTTGCAATTATAAAGTGAATTCAGCAAGAGTATTAGTCTTTTAAATGAGAACATAGCTGATTATAGATTTAAGTAATTTGAAAAATTCATTATGCATCAAATGCATAGTAAATGCAATCCATCTCTAAAATTCAAAATAAAATTATAAAACAACGAAAATTATATTTGTATTGTTTGGCATGTATTTTAATTTGAAGTGATTAGAAAACATAAGAATCAATTACTAAGGCTTCTTTTTGTTTTGTTTGATATTAAAAATGATTTTCAAATATAATCTCAGCATCTATCACCCAGTGAACTTCAATAGTTACTGATCAGCTTGAGGCAAAATGTATGATCTGTGAAGCATTCTAAATGGCTAGTGAACAGTGAGCACTCGGATGAATAATTTTTAAAGGTATTAATAGATTTTTAACAGATGTAACAGATTTTACTTAATTTTTCATTTTCTTTATGTAAATAATATAATGTCTTTCTTGGTTAAGCTGAATGTTCAGTAAGTCTGCCTAGTTTTTAATGTTGGTGAAAGCTACTAATTTATGTAATGCAAGTTTTTTTTTTAAATGTGTATTTTGTTAGCTCTGTTATTTTTAAAGCAGGATTGATAAAATTCACTTTTCCCTTTAAAAAAGATTCCTGTGATATGTATTCTTACTTTCTTTTTTCATTTAACATAGCTCAACATCGTCCAGCTCGAGCCTTACTACGTACCCCATTCACAAAAAATGCTCGGAGGACTATGACGAACATCAAAAAGTTTGTAAGAAGGTTCCAATACAGGAAAGATTTGAAAATGGTAGGCATTTCTTTTGTTATTATGTGAAATTGTGTGTGATTGAAAGATCATGATTTATTTTGTCTGTCGTTAAATTAAATCTTGGATTGCTAAATTATCCAATTAATGTTCACATTACTTGCTGTACAGTTGCGATTGTAGCTTGCTTTCAAGTCACGTTTCAAGTGCCATCTCAATTTTCCAGAGGCCTTTGATTCCCATAAATGAAAGTTTTTCCATACCCTAAATTGAATAAATTGTAAGAAAACTTATCGAAAATATTGGATAACGATGGTTTATCACAGTAGGGGAATTCAAAATTAACGTCTGTTTAACGATGCTAAATGTTTAAAGCTGTGTTCGGAGAATGAGCCTATAGCACACGTTAACGATGCTACATCACTAAGTTCTTTTTAATTGGGGCGATTTGCTCTTCCTCAGGATGACGTTAAATAAAACTGACGGTTAAATAATGTTTAGCTCGTTAAAACAGTATAATTTTAAAAGTGTTCTTAAGCTTCGAGATCTAAATGTCATGAAAATAATTTTAATCAATTATATAAGTCTGTTAAAAATTTTTTGCATTTTTTATTTTGCTTAAAAGTATTCATACGTAAAATGAATTAATATTAAAACATGAAAATTAAGGGGGAAAATTATAAATCTAAACTTTTCTCAAGGGCAAAAAAATATGTTTTTCAGGTATAGATTATACACAATATTAAATGGTACAGATCATTGACTGGTACAGATTATTAAAAAAATATTAATGTTTCATTATTCACAATAATGACAACTTTATGTGAATTTTTCTATGACTTCAAATGAACAGAAGAATAATACTTCAGTTTAAAAACTTCATTGTAATATTACCATTCATTTCGAGTCAACTTATCTCATTTTCACAGGCAATACCTTTATTTGTTGCTAATGATTAAACTTTACCACTTCAAGAAGTTATAATATTTCTTTTCAGTTACTTCAATCAACAGCAAAAACAGACGAAAACTATCGAAAACAATATAATCAGTTGTTCGAGAGGGGGAAAACATAGGGATAATGGAAGCTGAAGGATCGGCTCTACTATTAACCCGCCACCTAAGCCTTTCTGACTTTTCTCTGAGGAGGTGCTGGTATCAGACGATGAGAGGTCGCATATACGGTGGCCAAGCTCAGGATACCCTCGGTATACCAGTAGCCGAGATTACCGTCACATCACGCTGCACATACAGTACCAATTGCGCCTGCACGCGGTAAAAAAAAAAAAGTTCGCTCTTTACAGGCAAAAGTTTTGTAAAGTTACAGAAATCAAAAAGTTACAGAAGAATTCCCTGTAATGGTAACAGGTTGAAAGCAAAACTGTAGCGGTAACAGCTGATTTGCTTGTAGCATTACAGATAATGTTTCAGTAGCCGCGCGGAAGAATCACGTGACTGACTGGAAATTAGCCAATCAGGAGAAAAGTGTTTGAAAGCTAGTTGCAGAAAAAAAACATGGCTGAATGCATGTTGGTTGTATAGCGCAGGTAAGTAAGAAAATGTTTACAATTACTGCTTGAAATATTTTTTGTTCATTTTATGCAGATTATTCTCATGCACTTTGCACTGTTATATGTAGTGAGTAAGTATTTAAACGTTTAAGCTTTGCGATTAATTAATATCAGTGTTCGTAATGTCTAATGAGTTGAAAGAGTGCAAAATATTTATTCCAAATGCAGATCTAATAGTAGTATTTTGTCATTGTGCATCCGATAAATTACGCCTTAAATTGCCCGTATTATTATTTAAAACTAATTATTCCAAAATTTAATCACTGTTTGTGGTATTTAATTGAAATGGTAATGTGGTTGTTGAAAACAAAACTAATCATGTTAGCGTTCTTTTCCAATCGTCTGACCAAAGAACGTTTGACATCTTTTTCCCGGCAGGCCTTGCGAGAAACGTTTATATAAACATTTAGAATTCTGAATGTAATGTATATATTTTTTGCTTACTAGGTTTAGTTTATTCTTTTTCTAGGATTACCTAAATAATAGTTATACTTGGTTTATAATTCAGTCTAATATGTTTATGTACGAGTGTGAAGTAAAATTACAAAAACTTGAACAACGCGGTCGAGAATCTCGTTTATTCCTTTAGTGTAATAATATTTTTTTCAGTGGTATTAATTTCTTACGAAAATATTATAATTCCAAAATGAAGTAATTATATTGATTAAAAATATGTCCGTATCATACTTTTCGTAATGTTTTGTTTTACTAACTAGATGCAACTTAATTATTCCATATATTTTAATATACCAATATCAACAGGGAAAAATGGAAATGACCTAAAATATTTTTCTAACAATTCGTTAAACTAATTATAAAACAAAACTAAAATTTTGTGCATTATTTCCAAAAATATCATTTCATTAATATTTTATAAATGACAACATATATTATATTGTATATATAACTACCATTGCATACTTATAAGTTTTTAAACATTTAATGTAGAATTTATGTTGATTTTATTTGCCCAGTTT